CGAAAGGGCCTCTGTATTTTGCAAAAAAACGTTACCGGCGCTGACAGCTCGGACCCATCAGCTATATCTTCGCACGCAACGAAGTGCCTTCTTATTATGCACAAAAAAATGAATACTCCCCATGTTAGCTAGTACCCAGTATAGTGGCATGCTGACTTGTGGGCCTACTAAGTTGACGGGGACGGAGGGCTTTGTCAACTTAGTCAATATGCACGATTCTAGCTCCAGTGACCGTACGATGTCCATCCAACGGCCGTAGTGCTTCTTAAACCTCTGGTCTTCTTGCTCCAGCCGCCCAAACCAGCGCCAGTCGTGCCTCGTGCTCCTGCCTCCCGTGGCTGGCTGCGATGTGGCGGAGGCCTCACCGCCCCCTACTACTCCCACCGCTGGCCAGGCCATCCCTCTACTCACGCACACCCCCTGTTATTCTGCTGCGACGGCAGCTTCACATCGCAGCGAACCAGTGAACCCTCGTACTCCTCTACGCGTGGGCATCCACTGCCGCGTCTTCCCCGGCTCCGCGTCGTCCCTTTCCTAGGCCTCTCCGTCGTCCATCGCCTTGGTGCTCTCGGCGCGGCATGGTCAACATGGTCAAGGAACGACTTCCATCGGACATGGACTGTACGTGGAGAGGCTGACAGCTGGGTCCATGGCCGCAGCAAGGAAGTGCCTCCTTCTTACGTGCAAAATAATTACTTCTCCACCTGACAGCGGGGACCCACCGGATGGGCCGCAGCAAGGAAGTGCGTCCGGGCAGAAAAAATGATTCGCCCCCCTGACTACTGGGACCCACCAGCTACATCTTCGCACGCAAGGAGGTGCGTCCGGGCAAAAAAAAACTATTCGCCCCCCTGACTACTGGGATCCACTAGCTACATCTTCGCAGGCAAGGAAGTGCCTGACAGTCGGGACCCACCTGGTCGAAGCGTACGTAGCGTTGTCATTCTGGTCGCGAACGTGTACGTATATATATACTGGTGGATGTAGAGGCGCGCACGTGTCGTAGTAGAGGCGCACACGTAGCATGTACACATACGTACAGCGGCGAGGGTGCAAGAAAGAAAATACGGCCACGTACGTACATACGGGCAGGATCTCGAACGCCTACTCGCGCATACATACATGGCTGGGTCAGAACGGAGAAGCAACATCGTTGTCGTGTTCATGGGGAGGCAACGGAATGCATCGTGTTCATGGGGAGGCAACGGAATGCGTCGTGTTCATCGGGAGGCAACGGAATGCGTGGGAGCCAACCGGCTGGGTCGGAACGGAATGTGTGGTCGTGTTCATCGGGAGGGCTTGGATGGAACAGGTGATGGAAACGAGGCCTGGCGTACCGCACAACGGAGGAAACGGCCTTGTGTTCGACCGGCCACATTCGAAACGGGATCTTGTTCATCGGGAGGGGTCTGGCGTACCGCAAAATGGAGGAAACGGAACTCTTACGGTCGAAATGGGGGTCCTGTTGATCGGGAGGGGTGTGGCATACCGCAAAACGGAGGAAACGGACCTCCTACGGTCGAAACGGGGGTTCTGTTGATCGGGAGGGGTGTGGCGTATCGCAAAACGGACGAAACGGACTTGTGTGGGAGCGCTACGGTCAAAATGGGGGTCCTGTTCATCGGGAGGGGTGTGGCGTACCGCAAAACGGGACTCCACGGGATACTGTTCATCTCCACCGTCGACCTCCTCCAGCCTCCACGGGCTCCTGTTCATCCAGCCTCCACCGCGCGCTACTCCACCGGCTACTGTTCAACCACCCTTCTACGGGCACCCCTCCACCATCTACTGTTCATCCAGCCCTCCATACCACGGGGTCCTGTTCAACCAGCCTTCCACGGCCACCCCTCCACCGTCTACTGTTCAGCCAGCCCTCCACACCACGGGTTCCTGTTCATCCAGAGGCAACACCACCGCTCACTGTTCATCCACCCCCCCTGCAAGCTCACTGTTCATCCCAGAGGCAGCATCGATCGGCTTCAGTTAGCAGCAGTAGTGAAGGAATCGCTCCATCGGGTTCAGTTAACAGCCATCGATCGATCGCTCGGGTTCAGTAACGCGTAGCCTACAGTGCGAGCCCTTGGGTTCAGTTACCCAACGCCTCGCTCGGGTTCAGTTAGAGCCAACGCCTCGCAGACACGCGCGTACGTACGAGAGAAACACGCATCACTTGGCCCCCGACCTCCCACCGTAACCGGCAACTCCCCGAAATTTTCCTCCCCCTCGCTTCTACCACGGTTTTTTCCGTCATGGACAGCCCAAAGAATGTCATGCAGCTGCGTCTCCGGCCCGCCCAGGACGAAAAGCCCATTTTCTGTCATGATTTTTTGTCATGAAAGTAGGAGCCCACCACATCTACGATGATACCGGGTTTCGTCACAATTATCGTCATAGAAGTGTCATATGTATGATAGAAATTTTTTTCGTTCGGCCCAAAATGTCACGGATGTGTCTTTTTTTGTAGTGTCATTAGCTACATTGCTTGCAAGGCTTATAATGATGTGCATTGCCGAGAGGGGCCAGAGATACCTCTCCGACAATCGGAGTGACAAAACCTGATCTCGAAATACGCCAACTCAACATGTACCTTTGGAGACACATGTAGAGCTCCTTTATAATCAGACAGTTACGTTGTGACATTTGGTAGCACACAAAGTGTTCCTCCGGTAAACGGGAGTTGCATAATCTCATAGTTGTAGGAATTTGTATAAGTCATGAAGAAAGCAATAGCAACATACTAAACGATTAAGTGCTAAGCTAACGGAATGGGTCAAGTCAATCACATCATTCTCCTAATGATGTGATCCCATTAATCAAATGACAACACATGTCTATGGTTAGGAAACATAACCATCTTTGATTAATGAGCTAGTCAAGTAGAGGCATACTAGTGACATTAAGTTTGTCTATGTATTCACTAATGTATCATGTTTCCGATTAATACAATTCTAGCATGAATAATAAACATTTATCATGATATGAGGAAATAAATAATAACTTTATTATTGTCTCTAGGGCATATTTCCTTCATGAAGAAGGAGCACGAGGCCATGGCCGCCGACGAGGAGACCAGCCTCAAATGGGCATGGGAGGACTACGCCCGGCAGGAGATGGAGCGCCAGCGCTGCGCCCTCGAGGAGATTCGCCGCCCGGCGCCTCGGCCGCGAGGAGGGCATCGTTGTCATCCTCAACGACAGCAATGAGGAGGCCCCGGGCCGTCCAACCCCGTCCGCCACGGCGGCGGTGACGATGATGACTACACCAACTTCTACATGTTCCTCGGCATGTAGAATGCTCAAGGCGGCGCGGCGGTAGAGGCAGCGTAGTAGTAGTAGTAGTAGTGGTGGTGGTGGTAGTAGTAGTAGTACTACTAGTTTTTTAGTTTGTTTTTTATATTATGTTTCCAATTTGTACAAATATCAATGAAAACGCCTAGTTTGGCCGAATTTGTGTCGTGTTTGGCCGAATTTTGGTCGAGTTTGGTTTTATAAAACGTCGTCTGGGCGACCTTGGGGCGGCGGTTAGGAAAGTGACCGCCCCCACGCTGATTTTATCGCCGGTTGGCTTCTAGGTGGCGCAATTTCAAGCCCCTGGGGGCCGAACGGCTGGAGATGCTCTTATCCCCAGCACCACCCATCCACACATATCTTATCATCGCGCTCGTGACTCGCCTGCCTCCAGCTCCTCCCATCTCGCTTGCACCGCTGTATCCTAGCTCCGGCGAGCCCACCACCCCCGAAGAATCCCCTTCGCTACTCTCTCTCCCTCCCGACGAGCCTATTCCCTCTTTTTTCCTCGCAGCTCCATGAGTCAGCCTCCACTTCCTCCTCCCCGATGAGACATCTCGCCCAGGGGACGACTATGGACGGCGGAGAGTGGAGCAGCTCCACCGCCCACGCCGAGAGTTGCAACCAGCCACGCCTGGAGCTGCAACCGGAGGACGGAGGAGCTGCAACCGGCGGCCCGGGGAGCTACATGTGGTGGACGAAGGAGCTACAGCGGGCAGGCGATGGCGGGCGACTACGCGACGATAAGTGCTACAACCGCGGTTGCGAGATGTTGGGACCAACAATCAATTGTGCTACGACCGACAGTTTGGTTTGATGGAACCAACAACCAAATTTTCATTTTTGCTACCACCATATTTTAGTTTTGCTGGAACCATCATCATTATTTGTTACCATTGGATTTGTTGGAAGTTGGAACCACAATAATGTTTGTAATTTTTGCTTCTGCCGGTGTTCTGTTTTGCTGGAACCAGGTTCATTTTTGTTACCACTAGAGTTTTTGGTTTGCTGAAACAGAAGTCAATTCTTGCAATTTTTGCTACCACCAATTTATAATTTGCTGGAACCAGCTTTATCTTTTGCTGGCACCGGCAATCGTAGAAGTTATATCCGATAAGATTTTTTGCTACAAGGTCGGGAGTTGTTGGCAATGGCGGAGCTGCCACTGTCAATGGATGGGGCTGCAAGCAGCCATGGCCGACCTCGGACCCGTCGATGGCGGGTGTTGCACCGGGTCAAGCGACATGGGAGACTGATGGCGGGGGCAGCGGTGTTCGGGATCCGACGAGCTGGAGCGGCGGGTCTATGCTTTTCCCCTTTTTTCCCGTGCGAGTGGGGGAGAGGACGTAGGGTGACGGAGAGCCAGAGGAAAGGGAACTATGTGATCGAACGAGTCTGTACGATGTGATCGAACGGCGCGCGGGCGTCTAGTACTCACCAAAAGAAAAGAGAAGGCCAAACCAAACCACACCAGACTATAAGCAAACCAGGCACCACTCTCAAGTCTCGGTCACAGGGATCTCCCTGCAACCTTTTCCTTTTCCGTCTTCATACCACGGCGCAAGGATCTTGCGGTGCTGCGTGTTGTGGACAAGAAAACACAAACGGGGCAAGAGGGACTGCCCACGGGACCAGTTTTGGTTATAGCTCGCCTAACACGCACAAGATTTAATTAGTCAGATTTGGTTGGCCACCAAGAAACAGGCAGAGGCGCTAGAAGCTGTCCGGGATCCTGGGCGATGCACCATCACCACCACCACCCCACTGCCGTATCCTGGAGCTCGCCTCCCTTGCCTGCACATTCCAAGATACTGCAGTATCAGGACTCGTCTCGTTTTGCCCGAGGCTGAAACCCAACAGTCAAACCAGGATCGCTCACCTCCTTGTTCCAGTTGGTGCGCATCGTGATCGCGATCAGGATCACGGTCTGCAGGCCCACCCCGGTGAGCATGCCGCCCCACATCCCCTGTTGCATTTCATCCAAAGCCAAACAACCACGGTCGGTTTTAAGCTCGGCAGCCAAACGAACAAAGACATGCATGCACGCAGGAGCGCGTACCTGAATCCCGCGGCGCAGCGGGAAGGCGATCATGTACCCGACCGGGATGCCGACCCCGTAGTAGCACCCGAGGTTGATGTACGCCACCAGCCACTGCCACCCGGCCCCGACGGCCACGCCGGACAGCACGGGCTGGACGCTGTTGAGCAGGAGCGTGAAGGCGAAGACCACGCCCAGGCTGGCCACGGCGTGCACCACCTCGGGGCTCTCCGTGAAGGGCGCGCCGTAGACGTCCCGGAGGAGCAGCACGGCCACGAAGAAGGCCACTCCGATGGCCACGGACGACATGAGCACCACCGCGATCGCGAACCTCGCCGCCCGCGGCCGCCCCGCGCCCAGCTCGTTCGACACCCTCACGCTGCTCCAACCATTGGATTAATGCGCACGCACAAATATGTTTTGATGCAGATTGGTTGATTGATTGAGATTACCTGATGGCTGCATTGAATCCGAAGAACACCATGATCTGCCACCCGAACAGGTTGGTGCTGCACGCGGCAGCCAATGTGCCACATCCAGAAATCACAACATGTCAGTGCCACTATATAGTATACTAGCTAGTACTATGTATTTACTAAAGCCAGCTACCGTTTTGCTCAGCTTGGCAGGTGGCAATTATAACAGCTAGCTCACCAGATGGAGACTGCGGCGACGGCAACCTGAGCGTTGGGAAGATTGCCCACGATCACAATAAGGAACATGTAGAACCAGAACTCCAAGCTACCATTCCATGGCGATAGAGATATCATCATCGCAGATTCCATGGCGAAAGAGCGGGAATATAGGTGATTAATTACAACAGTTCATGGCAGTTCATTGGACCATAAGTAGGTGGTACGTATGTACAACCACCAAGCTGTACGAAATGTACGTACCAGATCATGATTGCTGAGCCGATGGAGAGGCGGGCGAAGCTGAAGAGCTCGGTGAAGGCGAGGGAGTCGAACTGGAAGCCGTTCCAGGCGCCGGGGCAGTAACCCATGACGATGTAGGCGAGCTGGCCGAGCACGACGAACCACCACGACGCGTTAAGCGCGACGGCGAGGCCAACGAGGTCCATCCGCATGGGCACCACGAGGAACCAGGTGAGCGCGACGTGGAACACCAGCGCCGCCGCGGACACCGCCGCCATGGCCACCAGCTTGCTCTGCGCCTGCAGGAACTTCTGGATGGGGAAGTTGAGCGCGTAGGCGAAGAGCTGCGGGATCATGTAGAGCGAGAACCGCCCGGCCATGACGGCGATCTGGTCGTCCTGGTGGAAGAACCTCAGGATCGGGGTGGCGAAGAGGTAGAGCGGGAGCATGCAGACGGCCGTGGCGGTGAGCAGCAGCCAGGAGCGCTGCAGGTAGACGCCGAGCATGGGGAGCTTCTTGGCGCCGTAGGCCTGCCCGCACAGCGTCTCCAGCGCGCTCCCCATGCCGTACATGATCCCGAAGGCGAGGCCGGCGACGACGGAGTTCTCGGTGGAGACGGCGTCCAGCTCGAGCGTGGTGAGGTGGCCGGCGGCGACCTGCGTGATGGCGCCCAGCGAGTACTGCGCCAGCGACGTGAAGATGGCCGGCCCGGCCAGGTGCCACAGCCGCCGGTTCTCCTCCGCCGCGCACCGTAGGAACGCCGACACGCTGTGGATCTCCTCCAGGTCATCCTTGTCGCCGCTGCCCGCCCTCGCTAGCAGCGCCTCCGTCAGCGGCTCGTCACCACCGCCAGCACAAGAAGCCATGGATTGGACAGGTCTCTCCTGTCCTGTATCCCAAGACAGTCAACACTGGACTGGACCGGTGCGGTATCGATACCACGAATGCAATGCGGCAGCTGCCAGTCAACTGCCCGATCGAGCATCAGACGATACTTGGTGCTTCCGCTTCCTATGGTGATGGTACTATCCTTGCGAGTTAACCGGCGCGCTCTCTGGGCTATATAGGCGAAAACCGAGGTGGCGAACAAGATGAGCCACGCCGTCTCGACAACACAAATCTCATGTCCAACTTATGTTTATTCGATAACTCCACAGAGCGCGTGTCCACTAATCAATCCAGTCCACTGCTATGCAAATACTGCTAGTATAGGAGTAGTATAGATTACTAGTAGTAGATCCCATCGCTTTCGCTTTCGATCGGATCGCTCGCAGTCGCCATCCGGGTTTTATAGGAGACAAACGCTGGACGGCTTAGCGTACAGCGCGGGCTGCACGCATGTAGTCACTCTTATCTACTCCATGATTAAATAAATATAAAAACTTTTAAAATACTAAAGTAGTGATCTAAAATAAAAGCTTTTAAAATACCAAAATAGTGATGTAAAAATTCTTATATTAGTTTACGGAGGGAGTACTTGTTTACAAAACAACACATGCAATTTGCTGCCAGTGAAAATATAAAACCATTAACTAAGAAAAACACAAGTAATACAGAACATTAATGGACTGCCTACTGCGTAAAAAACACAGAAACAACTTTTTTTTTGAAAAGCAGGAATACCTCCGGCTTCTACGTCTAGACGATACATACAATCACTTTATTAATTATTCACAGAAGACCTTACAAAGAAATACAATAGTAAATCTGAAGCCACCATCTAGGCAACATCTGTCGCTACTCCTATCCAGGGCCGTCTCCAGAAATTTTGGACCCCAGTGCGGAAAAAATATATGCTAAAATTGGGGCCTCGGTGCAAAAAAAATATATGCCACAGTTTGGCTATCAATTTGTGTAATGTGCGCATATCACCCAAGAATTGGTCACTTTGTTGACCACCCAATCGCATGGTGTGAATCGCATCGCGCGGAGTGTACTCCAGGTTACACACTTGTGTATATGATCATCAAAAATATAAATAAGGTCTTGAAGATAAATAGA